GGAGCTGATTGCCAGTCTCATCATGGGGAATAACTACCACCAGCTGCCCAGCCACTCACCCAGGCCCAGCCAAGTTGACACACAAACATAACCACTACAGGCATCTAAAAGCAGCATTTGGTGTTGTGGCCCAGCCAGCAGCTCCAGCACACTTAAGCTGTTGTTCTCCCATCTGACTTTGGGGTGTGTGTTTAGTCTTCATAACCATTGGCACATTCATGGTTTCCTCCTTTCCTCAAGGAAAAGCGCCTCTGTTTTCTTGAAGCGATGTCAGACCTCTCTGGAGGTACCCGTCACTGTCAAATTGATTCCTACTCATAGCGACCCTGTGACCCTCTGGAAGGTGCTCACCCCCATTTCTCTCTCTGCTCTCCTGTTTCCTAGGACTGCATCGACATAGGCTGGTGGGAAGGAGAGCTCAACGGCAGACGAGGAGTGTTCCCTGATAACTTTGTGAAGTTACTCCCACCGGACTTTGAAAAGGAAGGCAGTGTAAGTGTGTGTGGTTTTGATCTCTGTGCTCCACGCATTGTCAGAGTTGTGGCTCCCATGATAGGACTTGGGATGGGGAGGGCAGGGGGTTTGGTATAACTTTTAAGAGTGCCGGCATTTGAGTTACATGGACCCTGGTTCTAGCCCTTGTCTTCCCTATACCCGGTGTGTGGCTGAGGGCAAGTTCGTTAACCTCCATGAGCCTCCATTTCCTCATTGGTCAGTTGGCCACAGAAATCCCTAGTCTAGGTTTGTTACATGAATACACAAGATAACATATGCAAAGCCTTTAGTACAGTACCTGGCACATTTAAGCATCTAAATAAACTGCCAGAACCTTGGGTGCTTCATTTGGTGAGTAGACTTCCTATGTCTTTTGTACCATGGTCCTCGGTGGTGGTGGTGGCTGTATTGTGAAAGTTCCTAAAAAACACATTGTGAGACTGAGATCTACAGCAAGTGTGCTCTTCCTTCCTCCTTCCTCCCCTACCTAGCCTATCTACTCACCTCTGATGTGTCCTTTTTTTTCTTTGTGGGAATCTATTTTACAAAGCTATTGTTTAAATGAGCCAGTTCATCTCTGCCTAAATCTAGGTGTGGTGACTTCTCTGTCTACAATGTAACATGAAATATTGCAAAGTTAGGTGCACTTTACAGTGTAAGAGGGTGGTGATTTGCTCTTATTCATCCAGTTCTGCCCCTCAGAGCTCTTCGCTCAGGCTGCCACATGACTGTGCCCACCTTTCCTGGCCTGAGCCTTCCCATAGGCACCCATGGGGGCTGTGTTCCTAGACCATGCTGAACCCGACCTTGATACATCACCATTTCCACAGAGCTGAGGTGGAGGGAGGAAAGCTACAGTAGTGGGGAATTGGTTGCCAAGGATACTAAGCCAGCATCTGATGGTGTATGCCTGCTTAAATGAACTGATGTCTTGTTCAAGAAGCTAGATGATGCCCACACCTGTGAAGAGTGTGTCTGTAGATTGCTAGATTGCTTTGAAGTCTAAGGTCACACTTTTAGGCTTTTTGATAGCTTTCTTGTATTGTTTGGCTGATGATCTGTTCCACACCTGCTTTTCTCTCTTGGATTCTGAGTTTGGGGTCCAGAGAATCTGGATTCTGTTTCCTAGTATTTTCTACATCCTTGACACTTAAGTGTGGTCCACAGACCAGCAGCATCAGTATCACCTGGGAGTGTATTAGAAATGTTCAATCAATCTATATGGGATCAAACTGACAACAGCAACTTGTTAAAATTAGATAGGAACTTTAGAAGGCAATGAGTTATATTAATAAATTAATGGGAAAGGAACAAGTCAGAAAAGAAAGGTGGGAATTACTGCACAATTTGAAAAATATAATCATTGTCACTGAATTATACGTGTAGAAATTGTTGAATTGGTACATGTTCTGCTGTGCATATTCTCAACAACAATAAAATAAGGTATAAAAAAATAAGAAAAAAACAAACACCTTAAAAAATGCTCAGACCTCACCTAAGATCTAACCAAAAACCAAACCAAACTCACTGCCGTGGAGTCGGCCCTGACTCATAGCCACCCCTCCTTGGGTTTCTGAGGCAGTATCACTACAGAAGTAGATTGCCCAACCTTCCCTCCGAGGAGTGGCTGGGCCTCCTTAATCTAGGGAGTCAGAATCTGCATTATATCAAGATCCTTGGGTAATGGCTTTATACACTACAGTTGAGAAGCCCTGGTTAGAGATGTTGAGTATCTGTCTTAGTGACCATAATCCCACCTTCCAGCACCCAACCACTGAGTCAGTTCTAACTCATAGAGACCCCTAATGGGTTTCCGAGGCAGTAAATCTTTATGGAAGTAGATAGCCCCATCTTTCTTCTGCAGAGTGACTGGTGGTGGCATTGTGCCTAAGCCATTGGATTGCTGACCAGAAGGCTGGCAGTTCAAACCCACCAGCCACTCCTCGGATGGAAGATTGGGCAGTCTACTTCTATAGAGATACTGGCTTGGAAACCCAAGGAAGGGTCACTGTGAGTTGAAACTTGGGTCACTGTGAGTTGAAATCGACTCGACGGCAGTGAGTTTGGTTTGGGTTTTGTAGTACCCAACCCTGTTTTGTTGTTGTTGTTGTTTTTATGAGCCATCGAGTCCAGCCCGACTCTTAGCGACCCCTCCTTAGGTCTCTGAGGTGGTATCACAACAGAAGTAGATTGCCCAACCTTCCTTCCAAGGAGTGGCTGGTGGGTTTGAACCGCCAGCTTTCTGGTTAGCAGTCAAATGCTTTAGGCACTACACTACCAGAGCTCCTAACCATGTTTTAGGAGGGAAATAAGTTCATAGAACAGAGAAGAGTTTGTTATTCAGTAAGAATATTTTCTACCAAACAAAATCACTTGAGCCGTTTTTATTGGTAACAGTAGCAATGGTGGATTGACAGTTAACAGAATTTAACACTGGGAAAAACAGACATGAAACGGTAATATCTAGATAATAAATGTTTGGCACCAGTAGGGTGCAGAAAGAAGGTTTGGCAAGCATTCATAGAGTGTAGTGTTGTGACCCTAGGCTGTGACATTGGATGGACCTGGGCACAAATCCTGGCTCTGTCACTTCTGTGACCAAAGTTAAGTTACTGAATGTCTGTAAGCTTCAGTATTCTCATCCATAAAATTGTGAGAATAATCATACCTACCTTGTAGAACTGTTGAGAATATGGACTGAGATGTTGTGTGTGAATTCCTAAGCACAATGTCTGAAACTTAGTAGTACTCATGTTGTTGTTGTTATTGTGTGCTGTTGAGTAGATTCCCACTTGTAGTGACCCTAGAGAGAAGAATAGAATCATAATGTTTCCTGTGCCCTGGGGGTTGCAGTGGGTAAGCACTTGACTGCTAACTGGAAGCTCAGCAGTTCACACTCACCAGCTGCTCCATGGGAGAAAAAACCTGACGATCTGGCCCTGTGAGTGCCCAGGCATGTGAACCGTTGCAGTCTGAGTAAGTCTGGAAGGCCCCAGTGAGAATGGTGAAGTAATGACTCTGGCTCATTTAGCTTCAAGTCAGCTGATCAAATCAACACACAGTTGTCTTAGAGTCTTGGTGAACTTCTCTGGGAATCTAAATACTAGATGTATTTACATTAGATATCAACTTTGATGGATAGCCTGAAGAAAGAAGTCCAATGATTATAAAACATACTTGTGGAGACAAGTGAGCACAGAATGGCATAATCTTCAGGTTATTTCCCACATTTTTTTTCTGGCTTTGCTGCCCAGCAATTATGTCTCATATTCATTCATTCATTCATTCATTCAGTGTTTATTGAGTCCTTTCTCTGGGATGGCCACCATGTTAGGTGGTAGAAGTGAAGAGGACACACAAGAGATGCTGCTACCCTAATGGCCTTTGAGTTGGGCAGCAGGTCTGCTGTTCAGAGCCTGACAATCCTGCCAGATATTTCTAGAAGGACACTCTGTGTGGGCCTCTCCAAGTCACTCCAGACTATCCAGTTTACCCTTCTTACTTACCATTGTGAGGCTGGTGAAAGGGGCTTGTCTCCTAAAGTACTTTGATACCAAGACCTTCTTGATGCTCCTCTCCCTTTGCCCACTGTCCTGCTAGATGTTTGCCTTTTTATTGGTTCTTACTGAGGCAGTATGGTTTTGAAGGCTAAGCTCAAATCTGGATCATTTATTTAACAAATGTGCAAAGCCTGTGCTTGCATACCTTGTGGCCTCTTGCTTTCTAGTTTCCAGTCATATTTTAGTGGAATAATAAATTCACTCAGGCGAGAAAGATTCCATGACATACTTTTCTAGAAGCTCTGCTCTGTTACATAAAGTACTAAGGGAAGCGCTTCCACTGTGAGAGTAAAGATGTCAATGATGAGTAGATGCATTGTAGCTTGCTCATTGGGGCATGCACAGTCGTTGGGGTCCCATGGGCCTGTCTCCAACCCCAGCCAAGCAGCCACCATCTCTTTGATAAGTCTTTTAACCTTGTCCCTATGAAGTCGAAAATCCAGTTTTAGGGAAACAATAATAATACCTGTCAAACAAAGAAATACTTACAGCTGAAAAGTAATTGTATAATGTGACATTTAGTTTCCAGAAAATCCAAAGTACTACATCTTTGTTTTAACCCCCTCTAACCTATAAAAGGGAGCTCTGGTGGCATAGTGCCTAAGGCATTTGACTGACTGCTAACCAGAAGGCTGGCAATTCAAACCCACCAGCCACTCCTTGGAAGGAAGATTGGACAGTCTACTTCTGTAAAGATTTACCACCTCGGAAACCCAAAGGGGGTTGCTATGAGTCGACTCGACTCAATAGCAGTGAGTTTGGTTTATTGTGAGTTTTATTTATTTATTTATTTGGTAGCCTACAAAACTAGAGTCCCTGGGTGGCCCCAGTGCCATGGCAGTGGACTGCTAACTGAGGGGTTGACAGTTTGGGCCCACCTGGAAGCACCTTGGAAGACAGGCTTGGTGATGTGCTTCTGAAGGGTCACAGCCTTGAAAACCCCGTGGTACAGAGTGGCACACAAAATGAAGGACACTACCTGTGAGTATGGTGTTCCATTAGAAAACCATCTATGAGACCAGAAGGTCAACGATGACTCTAAAGCAAAGAGGAGACAATAAGGGGGCAGGGAAACTAGAATACTGGAAATGGAACAACCAGAATACAATTAAAGAGAATGTTGACACATTGTAGAAAATGTAACTCATGCCACGAGACAGTTTGTATGCATATTGTCAAATGGTAACCTAATTAGTTTGCTGTGTAAACTTTCACCAAAAACATAATATGTTTTTAATAAAATATTATTTTAAAAAAAAAAAAACCTATAGCAGTTCTACTCAGCACACATGGGGTCCCTGGGAGTGAGACCCGACTCACAGCAGCTAACATCAGTAACAGCTTATAAAACCAGCCTTTATTGCTAAACCTAGAGCATTGGTTTGATGCTTTTGAGTTGTGGTGCTGGCGGAGAATGCTGAAAGTACCATGGACTGC